AACCAAGTTTTATCTTGAACAAAGAGAAAAGATTAAAATATATTAAAATTTGAAAATTAACCAAAATTTACATTAAATCGATCCTAATGAAATTAAGATATACAAACTCAGTTAGAATGCAAATACAAAGCACAATAAACATGGAATAAAACCAAATTTAAAGCCATAATAATTGCTTAAGATTGATTAATCAAAAGTTTAATTTTTTGTATTAGTTGGGGAATATAAGTTGGTTGCCGAAGCTAATATATTAACTAGGAACAACACTAGATATTCAAGTACATGCAAACATATTTGCTAGCCGAATCGTCTTAAACAACACTAGATTTAAGGGTGGATACTTAGTAGTGAATGCCCAATCGTCTTATAGTATATTGATAGGACAACCCATGTTGAATAAGCTAGGAGCAGTAGTGTCGACTTCACACTTGAAGGTGAAGTACCCATTGCCAAATGGCGACATTGGGATTCTTAGGATAGATCAGGAGGTTGTGCAAAAATGTTATGAAGATAGTTTAAAAGCAAGGAGACACCTATATGCAACATCTATGGAGAGAGAAGTTCAATCCATAGAGTTGGATCCGAGGGTGAATCATTTTGATAGTCAACCATCCCCTGCTAAAGAGGTTAAGGAGGTAAGCATATGGTTGAGGGAAAGAACGTCAAGATTGGAGTATCTTTGACTTTAGTAGCTGACGAGAAGTTAGTTAACTTGTTAAATAAAAATGTGTCAACCTTCGCATGGAGTGCTAATGACATGTCGGGCATAGATCCTGATTTTTTGTGTCACAAGCTTGCTTTAGACCCAAAAGCAAAAGCGATAATCCAAAAAAGAAGAAAGTTTGGAGAGGAAAAGAGGAAATCCATATCAGAAGAAACAACAAAACTAATGGTAGTCAGTCATATTTGTGAGATCCATTAACTAACATGGTTGAGGAATGTGGAGATGGTAAATAAAAGTAGCGGGAAGTGGAGGATGTGCACAGATTTCACAGATTTGAATAAGGTCTGCCTGAAAGATTTGTAGCCCAAAAGATTCGTAGCCCTTACCCAATATAGATTACTTGGTAGACGATGTGTTAAGGTATGAACTGCTAAGCTTTATGGATGCGTATTTGAGATATAACCAAATCCGAATGCATTTGACTAATGAGGACAAAATGGCGTTCATTACAAACCAAGCTAACTATTGTTACAAGGTCATGCCTTTTGGGCTAAAGAATGTCGAGGCCACCTACCAAAGACTGATAGATAAAGTTTTGGTGAACCAGTTGGGTAGAAATGTAGAAGCCTGTGTAGATGATATGGTTGTGAAGTTAGTGAGTGTAGCTCAACATTTTTTTGATCTCCAAGAATTATTTGACACTGTTGACAAATACTAGCTCAAGTTGAAAGCCGATAAGTAGGCATGGGTATATAGACCGATCTGACCCATTTAAGGCCCAATTTGTAAAATTCATGTTTTATACGGACTAGATAAGTCTGGTCTGTAAAATAAATGGACTTATTTTTTAAGTCTGTATCCGGTCTGCCAAAATTCGAGAATAACGAACCAGTCCCCAGATCTAAATAATAGTTCAAAAAAATAAATTTTTAAAAAATAAAAAAATATATATAAAATTAGAAGAATTTTTTTTATTTATAAACTAAATATCATAACACTAAAATTAATCAATAGTTAAAATATTAAATATTAAAATGTTAAAATAAAAATAATTACAAATACTTATATAATAATACCAAACTTTCAATAATAAAAGCATCAAAATATCATAAAAAATAATTCAAATGACAAATACATACCAAATAAATATAGTTTTAATGTCATAATAATTTAAAAGATTAAAAACACAACTTAATATTAAATTCTTAATATCTAAAAATATTAATTAGTGAAGTCCATGGACTAGTCCGTGAGCTCACAGATTAAATCTGCCAAGTCCATGTACTTCACAGTCTGAGCTAAAAAATTAAATATAATCAAACAGATTTGAAAAAAATGAGTCTGTTATCCACAAAGTCCGCGGGCTTACGGACCAGTTCGCGAATCCGGGTCCATCTACCCACCCCTATCGATAAGTGCCCGTTTGGGGTTCAAGTGGGAAAATTTTTCTTGGTTTTCTATCATGACTTATTGTGGTATTGAGGCAAACCCAAATAAATGCTCAACAATAATCAACATGAAGGAAGTTCAACAACTTGCTAGGAAAATGGCATCTCTATCACGATTTTTTCTAAGTTGTTCGATAAAACATTATCTCTTTTTCAATGCCTGAGAAAGAATGATCATTTCATTTGGACAAATGACTTTGAGAAATCATTTGAAGAACTTAAAAGGTCTCTTGCATCACCACCAATCTTGACTAAACCTTGTATAAGTTTGCCTTTGTTGGTTTATCTATTGGTATTCGATAGTGAAGTCAGTGTGGTTTTAGTGCAAGAACAAGATAACACCCAGACCCCGATCTACTTTATTAGTAGAGTGTTATAAAGAGATGAAGTTCACTATCAAAAAAATGAAAAGTTGGCTTTGACAATATTAATCATTGTAAAAAACTTATACACTACTTCTAGAGCTACAAGGTGGTGATTCGAACTGATTATCCAATTCGATAGGTTTTGTAGAAACTTGACCTAGCTAGAAGAATGATGAAGTGGTTCATAGAATTATCTGAATTTACAATTTAGTACAAATCAAAGGGGGCGATCAAGACTTATGCATTAGCAAATTTTGTGGTAGAGCTAACTTCACCTACTAAGAAAAGTAACAACACAAAGGATCCATGGATTTTGTCAATGGATGGGGCCTCGAATGTTGGAGGAAGTGGGGCTAGCATTTTGTTGGAAGGACCAGGAGGCATACTGTTAAAATAGTCATTACGGTTCGATTTCAAAGCCAATAACAACCAGACAGAATATGAGACGTTGTTAGTAGAGAAGATGTTGGCAAAAGAGATCGGGGCAAAAAGTTTGACAATTTGGAGTAATTTGTAGTTAGTAACAGGACAAGTGTTAGGGACATTTCAAGCAAAGGATCCTCAATTGGTGAAATACTTAGAAAAAGTAAAGCTTTGTTCCACCGACTTCCACCAATTCTCAATTAGTCATATGCCTAGGGAACAAAACTCCAGAGCCGATCTACTCTCCAAATTAGTAAGTACCAAAAAACCAGGGGTTACAAGGTTGGTCATTTAGAAAATTTTGCTTCAACCGAGTATCAATGAGCCTCAAGCAAGCATTTTTTTCGTTCAAGAAGAGATGGATTCATGGATGAGACCTTTTATCACATATTTGACAAAGGGAGAACTACTAGAGGATAAGAAGGAAACATTGTTGATAGTAAGAGAAACAGCACAGTTCGTAGTTATTTTCGATAGGCTATACCGAAGGGGTTTTAACAGTCCTCTCTTAAGATCTTTAACGACATCTCAGGCAAAAAGAGTCATGGAGGCGATTCATTGTGGCATATGTGAGAGCCACATTGGGGGCCGATCATTGGTGTACAAAGTGAATTGTGTTGGATATTTTTGACCGACTCTAAAAAATGATTGCATCAATTGGGTTAGAAAATGTGATGGATGCCAAAATCATGCAACCTTGCACCATTCTCTTGTTGAACGACTTCACTCAATTCTATCTCCATGGCCTTTCAATAAATGAGGGATAGACATTCTTGGTCCATTTCTGATTATTGTACGACAATTGAAATTTTTAATAGTAGTGGTAGATTACTTCAATAAATGGATTGAAACAAAACCAATGGCAACCATCTTTGTGAAGAAGGTTAGAACGTTCTTATGGAAAAATGTGGTATGCCGATATAGAGTTCAACAAATTTTGGTGTCGAACAATGGGACTTAATTAACCAGCAAAAGGGTTCAAAGTTTTTGCCATGAGATCGGAATCCGAATGATGTTCACATTAGTGGAACATCCTCAATCAAATGGACAAGTTGAATCGACAAACAAGGTGATATTATTAAGGTTAAAGAGGAGAGTTGAAGATGCAAGTTTGACATGGGTGGAAGAACTCCCTAAGGTATTATAGTCTTACCATATGACTGTCCATTCTTCCACTTAGGAGACCCCATTCAATATATTATATGGAACATATGACATGATATCGATTGAAATTAGTGAACCTTCTATGTGCACGATATGCTTTTCGGGGGAGGAGTTTAAACACGGGAGATGAGATCTTTGACCGAACACGCTAAAAGCCGAGTCGAGAGGGGATACCCAAGGATTAAGGGTAGACCGACTTCCTAATGCAAACTACCTCCTTAAAAAGGTATCGAATTAAATCTGATATATAGGGTCATATCTAAAATAAGATCTTATCTTTAATAACTAAAGATTATAGTACTAAAATCACCTTAGAAAATTTTGATGTTTTTGGAACTCATAAGACTCATAGACAAGTAACTATAAAATCTTGAACCCTATATCTAAGATCACACATTACACTTTTGAATGTTTTAACTTTGGAGACTTACCTAGAATAAAGCCTAGACACCTTCTAGAGATTGGAACAATATTAAAAAGTTATGTATTTATTATTTATTATGTATAAAAGTTTTAAATTAAAATAATTATAAAATGAAGAGAGTAGATGACAAGAGTCTTTAAATTTATACCTACTTGTTTACTTAAACTACATTAAAAGTTAATATAGGATTTGCCTTGTTCAAGTAGTTCAAGGTGAGACTAAGTCAACTATGATGATCATAACTTCGCCGTAGTCCTTTTTTCCGCAACACCCCACATGTTCTATGGAGTAAGGAGAAAAAGTGGCGTAAGCCCTCCTTTTTGGGCCAGTAATCTGACTTTAAATCTGTTGAAATTGTTATATGTTTTAGCACTCATTAAACATGTCAAGATTTACTTGATAAATTAAAAACGAAGTGTTTATATTAAACTATTCTTGACCCTGATTCTCGATGAAGCGAGGCAATTGGGAGACTTTTGATCACCTTTGATCCTACCAGAACACCACCAAAAGTCCAAATGGGATCGTGGAAAATTGGATATATAATCTATATATATTTCCTGATTGGCTGATTCTATCAATGCATTCCCTTTGCCTTGTATATCTGAGACCCGGGGCAAACTCGCTAGAACAAGCAAAAGCAACAGCATCAACAGTATTTCTACAACTTGAAAAACCAAATTGAAATTCCCCTTAACTATATTCTTATACATTGCATAGCTGATAGCACAGTTCGTATAACTTAAAGCATGCACGCACCTAAGTTAATTAAATCATCATTCATCACCATTCTCCAAGTGTTGGATTAATAGAAGCATATCTGAGAAGCTCATCGTCACGTTCAAACCTAGCCATGTCTTTCTCTTCCATGTTGACAAGCGCTTCAACCCCACCCCCATCTCTCGCATCCATCAAAACCACGCTATTCCTCACGGGGCACCCACTAGTGGTGAACCACACCGGTTTCCCCCACCCGAAATCCGCTTCATACATCGGAAACCCGCTCCAACTCGCACAACAAACCAAGCCTCCACTCTCCTCAGCCTCGGGAACCGAAGTAGCTTGCTTCAGGCACTCCGATATGAACCTCGAGTCCCTACCCTCCCCTCCGAACTTCCTCGCAAACGTGCCACAAAACTCGCGCAACCCTTCCTTCATTCTCACCACCAACTCATGAACCTTTATCTCGCGCGGCTGAAACACGAACAGGAACCAAACCAAGTTCCCTACGCTGTTCTCGGGAAGAGGCGGAACCGTCCTCCTCCGGAGGTTCACGGCGGTGCGGAACGACGTCGTTGAGGGACTCAGCCCTAGAGCGGCAACCACGCGCGCGTAAATCAACGCGCTGACGACTTCCACGCGCGTGGGGTTATCCACTTTGTAAGAGGACACTAGGGCTTTCAGTGAGTCGATTTTGCAGGCCTCAAACACCAACCTATGGGATACCCAAAAAAAAAAAAAACATTATAAAATAAAATTATAAGTTATGCATGGAAGAAATTTTTCCTATTAATTTTTTCAAAATCTTATTTGAACTATATCACAAGTGATGAAACCTTCTGCAAACGGTGTCGTTTTCGACGAACGCGGCTTCTGGGAAAAGAGGGAGATTCTCTTGCGGGAAAAAGGAAGCAGCGGGAACTGGGAAGGGTGGTGGCGGTTGTTGTTGACGGTTGAGTGTGGCCCAGTCGTTGATGAAATTCGAAAGAGTGGCGGCGTCGGCAACTTTGTGAGACATGCAGACGCTGATTGCGATTCCTCCGCAGGCGAATGAGTTTATTTGAATAACCAATATGGTTGAAGAAGCGTTCATGGGCTTCCACTGTAGTCCATCGGGGAAAAGAGGGTTCAGCGATGCTTCGGTGGGGTTGCGGAGGATGGAGGAGAGGTTGCATGTTGAGTTTGTGACCAGTAACGAAGCACCTTGGTCGTTGCAATCAATGGAAATTTGATCTTTGAAGGTGCCTGCTAAGGGGTAGTAGCGGGATAGGACTTGGGATAGGGATTTTTTGAGGGTTGGTATTATGGAGGCTTGGTCATGGTTAGGGTTTGGAGAGTAGAAGAAGAGTAATGGAACGTAGTTGCGGAAAACGATGTTGTCTATGAAGGAGAGGGGATAGGTTCTGAGGTGAGGAAGGGTGGGTGTGGAGGGTTTCATGGTTTCTCTGGATACTAATTTCATTTCCATATTGGTACACTTTCTAATGTAAATAATAATGACTATGCTATATACTATATATATATATAGTTTATATATATCACTTGGATATGGTTTCGAAATTGGAATTTTGGTTGCCTAGCCAGTTAGCCTGTAGAAAGAGTCATGGATACTCGATATACATACACACTACTATGAGTACAAAATGAGAAATGTCTTTTGCTTTTTGACTTTTGTCTAGGGTGTATATGTATACCAACAAATTATCAAGTTTATTTTTTATTATTTACAAGAATAATGATAATAACATTAAAATTAGTTAGGGAACGTGTACATGGTTGAGGATGACTGGTAATTTCTTGTATTTACTCATCATGAAAAGAGAGAAATAAAATCGTGAGACAATTAATTGACATTGTATGAGATAAAGAAAAATAGAATGTAAAATGAAAGTAGAAAATTTATAATTAATTTTCTTATATTTTCTCAAAATATTCTATGATTTGATAAAAATTAATAATTTTTTTGATCTAGTTTTTTATTCTGTTTTTATGATTAAATAACGATAACTCATCAATACAAAAAAATTGGCTTTTAATAGGGAAAATACTGATATTTGAAATGCAAAGTTTCTTGTTTTCCTGGTAGGAAATTGTCGTATCATTATTCGCTTAAAATGACAATATATAAGGCGTGAAAAACAATGTATAAAAATATAAATAAGATAAATAGTTCTGTAGAGTTCTCCTGATGATGACACAAAAACCTCACGCAAAACAAAAGAAGCAGAACTGAAGGTGTTGGTGCGTATATGATATGACAAAATTCTGATGAGAGATAAGCTTTTATACAATATATGTAAAATAATGATAGAAAATTATCTGCTCATAGTTTCATCAAATCGTTGTATACTTCTCGAAACCAATTTTAGAACAAAATATAAAAAATGATATTATACATATTATTAATATTATTATTTAATTAAATTTGAAATTACTTATATTAATAACTACTATCTTCATACCTGTAGTTAAAATTCACGACGATAAATAATAAGATAAAAAAAACAATTTAATTAAAACAATCAATAATATTCATATACAATATCTAGGTTAAGCTAAAAATTAATTAATTATTAATGTATGAGTGACATGTACAAATTACAAAGAGAATTTCAAATCGTCACTAATTATATCCACTTGCATATTTATTAATATAAATGATTAATTATTAATAATTACTTGGGTATTAATTAATTGGGTCAACTAGTCTATTATTGATCCATTCCTCCGCAAGTGGACCGGAGCACAAGGGAGGAATATGAGGTGTTTTTTTATATAGTAATTTTAAGTTCCTCTTCAATATTTTTTACTACATTTTATTAGATAAATTTGAAATTTTATTCAATTTTTATAAAGCATTGATAATATATATATATATATTAGAGAATATAATATTATTCAATATTTTTACGAAAACATGTCAAAGAGTGCGAGTCTTTTATTTAAAGACTAGGTATAAAGACAAATATTTTTTAGTAAAAAAAGCCAAACAAAAATAATAAAAGGTAACAAAACTGAAAAGAAAAATAAGGATACTACAAATAAAATATATTATGTTAAAGTAAAAAAATTATAATTTAAAATTTATAAAATATATAATATAGTAACTTATGTTAAAGTCAACGCTATTGTTTTAAAACGAGCCGGCCTTGTGTTTATCACTTTAATATATACAAGTAATAAAAATTTAAAACAATAATTATATTTTAAAATTACACATGAATTGCATAAGAAAGCATTTTTTTTTTTTTTGTCTTTACATCGATCGAATTGAAAAGAATAAGCGAATTAGGATTTGGAGCCTACCAACTTGTACCGGTACCGGCACGGCACCGTGCAAAGCAAGGAGAATCAGGAGATGTAGATTGTTTACATTATATGAGAGTTTATCTTAAAAAAATTGTATTTAAAATTGGTCTGACATAGAATTTATACATAAACTAGTTTTAACTTATTTTTAAAAAATTTCATCTTTTTTCCTCTTAAAAGTACTTATGAAAAATTTATTTAAAGATGTATGTAATGCAGTTATAACTTTTCTTTTTTTGGTAATGGTAGAAAAGAAACAAAACAACAAAAAGGGGCTACAATCCTATAAGCATAACATCTGACACAACTAACTCAACTCCATAACTTAGACCAAACTGAACATAAAATTAACACATTGATTTTCTTACGAATAGCGAATATCAACTCGTGTCACCTGTACCTTTTTTTAATATATAATTATGTTAAAAAATATTAATAATTAATCTTTGTTGAAAATTCTAAATAATTATTTTTAGTGAAATCTTCTCTTTCAACTATTTTTTATTATATACAATTCAAACTGAAACCTTGTTTAAGAGAACTAAATCTAATATCAGTCAAATCAATAATATAGTGGTGCCACCTGTAGCATTTAATAACACCTTTTAACATTTTCTTTTATAGGGACCATTCCCCCTCTCTGGACATGAAATGAACCAACACAAAACGCATGATCAATCCATCTTCTGAGGCTTAAGCAAAAGAAAATAGTAAAATGATGTCCATTAATAATTTTGACTATTCCTAATAAAATTAATATAAAATACAAACAGCAATAACAAGATGGGGGGAGAAGCTGGAGAAGAAAATTAATTAACGCAAAGCATAATGGGCTTGATCTGCAAAGCTTCGTCTTCTGAATTATATGGGAAATTAGAAATAACTATGTCCCTAAGTTTTTCTTCTGTTTTTTTTTGGTCCAAGGAAATCGAACACGATGTCAAGGAAGTTCGCAGCACCTCACGCAACACGTTCAACAAACTAATGTGACTAAGCTTATGAGCACTAAATAATATAGCCTATTATTGTGGCTACTTCCTCTCAAGTCAATATATTCATTCCTCTCAATAGTCAAAATGAATATCTAATTAGGCATAGAAAAATGTTTCAACTTAAGTGCATCCTAACTTGACATTCCTTTTCAAGAATTTCCTTTTGTTTCCCTTGCTTTCAATTCCCAAAATAAAGTTTAAATTCCTTTTATTACCCTACAATGTTAGTTAAATCCCACTGACCAACCTATTATTATTTAGGGAAGCTCTCATCTCTCACTTTTCACAAGGCACAATAACAAGTAATAATTGAAATTAGTCTCTTTCATCCCTTTTATCCTAATTATCAATAAGCATAATGTACATAACAAGCAGAAAACTTGTTTAGATAAATTTCTCTAGGAAGAAAATAGGAAAGAAAATAAAATAAGTTTTTTTCAAAATTTTAGCTTATGAAAAAAATTATTTCATTTTTCCTTTCTATTTTCTTCTTCTAAAAGTGTTTTTGAAAAAATTTCTCCAAACAGATTCAGAAATAATATATTTTGGCCTTGCTGACATGCATTCTTTTCTCAACATATCCATATGTTTAGTAAATCACATAAAACAAACAAATTCTATAATGATAAATGAATCATGTGTTGTTATAATACATACATATAATCAGACCGAATAATACAAATATTTTTTAGAAAAGATGTCTCAGCATTTACAAACACGCCAGAACTATAGCTCTGCTTCTTAATGCATCAACATCAAGAATGAGACAACAAAACCACAAGGAACCCTCCATTCTATAATTGGTCAGAGCTTCACCTCCTGTCAGCATTTTACCCAGTTGCAGCCTTCCACGACTTGATAGAAGTTCAAGGAACCTTTACCAAAGCATGAACAGCAACAAATGGCTCCACCAAAGAATTTAACCTCCTGAAGCACATGAACCATAAATGCTACCAAGCCAATCAAAAATGAAATCCCAAAACAAGAAACTGTGTAAAATTAACTAGAGGATGTTTGGACAAGCCCATTGCTTGCAGCTTTTGAAGCAGCAACCTCTTCTAACATCTTCCATGTGGCTTCGTGCTTTGTTTTCTGCTCTTCTAGTTTTGCTTCATCCTCCTCAAACTTACGCAAGCACTCCTCAAATATCTCGGGGTCAAGATCAGAGAAGATTCGACGAACATTACGTGCCAAATTCTGGACTACCTGGTTCCAGTGGCCCCGGCAATTTTTCTCCAATGCAGGGAAGATTATAGGAAGTATTACTCTACGGTTTTGTCTGATCAAGCTCTCAATATGATCATTGTTCCACAAGTAAAGTGCCCTCTCTGCCACCTGCAAAAGAAAGTGAAGTTCAATAGGGCCCTGACCAGAAAGGCAACAGCCTCCATCATATGCAGGATACTATTTCTGAACAAGATCATAATGTCTAAGATAACAGAAATGTCAATTGTTAACTGTTACTTACTTCTGACCAAGAATCAATAAGAAAAAAACTTCATCAATGCTATTTGGCTGCAAATTACATTTTGACCACGACTGTTAATATGACAACACCATCATAACACTCACAAATGTATTATGATATTTCTATGCTGCCCTTACATCAACCACCCAGCACAAAAATTTGCAGCACAAACCAATCAAACCATACACATAAACTATTTAATCAATGGAAAAAAAAATGCCTATCTAACCAAAATCTTTTCAGAAAAAAGAGATAAATATTATTGGTGCATAAGTTTTCATATAAATTGGGAAGCAGAATCTTATTCTGTAACATAAGTTTTCATAACCAAAGATTTTGGCAAAGTAAAGGATCATCATAAAACAAGATTTTGTATGCTATTATCTTTACCTAATAGAATTATTGTTTGCCTTTTCAAAAAAAAAAAAAAAGAAAAAGATAATCATAAAGCATGATTTTTATAAATTGATTTAATAGAAACTCCTTGTCCAGGAAGCTACAATGCCAGCAGTGTAGCACAGTTGGCAAATTGAAAATTCAGGAATGCCAACTTTAAGTTACGGAAGAGTCGAGGATCTGCAGCAGGCGTTATCATTTAAAGCCTAATTCTTATCTTCCACCCAGGCACCCATCATTTGCATTTGCATTGAACATTATGAAAATTGAAAATACATAAAAACACAGAAGATTCAAAGGACAGATAAAAGAATATTTAAAATAAGAGCAAGACAGAGATATAATATGATATTATCAAGTGCCTGGACCTCACGAATTAAGAATATTACCAATAACAGTGACAATACTATCTGGTTAAGATTATCTTCATAGCAAGAATAATTTTTATCTCAACAAATTCATAAGAATATTTTTATCAATTTTTGTTTTGCATGCCTACTCAGACCTAACTGCAGTCAATATCTTGAACTAAATTCTTATCATATCAAAAACTTTTAATGTGTTACTATATATGAAAACTGTTCCAAATCTAAAGCCAATGACATATTTCCAGCTTGATTTATAGTGCCATAAATCAAAACATGAAATAGGTTTTGATTTGTAAAAATATTAATGAATTACGATCCTAAAAAGATCAATTTTGCAGGATTTTGATAAAGTTTGAAAAGGTGGTTTATACACAATCATTAAAGATGAGGGTGAACTCAGCATTATTAAAAACAAAGATAACTGAAAAACTTGAATTGGCCCTGTCAAAGATTGGCCCTCTTTAATGTCCAAAAATAAAGTTTGAAAAGGTGGTTTATACACAATCATTAAAGATGAGGGTGAACTCAGCATTATTAAAAACAAAGATAACTGAAAAACTTGAATTGGCCCTGTCAAAGATTGGCCCTCTTTAACCAGAAAATGTGCACATCCCTGGAAAAACATTAGTAACAAATGAGATTACATTTAATTTCCAGAAACATTCTGAACAATAGGAGAATGAAAAAATCTCTAATTGGTTATGTTATAAGTGATCAGTACCTGAAAGTGTAAGCTGTTCAAGCAATGAGCAATTCGACTGAATAAGGGCACCATACATCTTTGGAAATCTGCTGGCTGAGTGGCTTCAAGAATTTCCTCTAGCTCAGTGAGGAACATGACTTCCTTTGAACTATTAGTGATGGGCCAGTACTTCAACAAACCCCTTATTACAGTATCTGCAAGCTTGCCATCTTTTTCCACGAACTGTGTAATGCAGTATGACAACTGCTGATGGTACATTGCTAAGCATTTTGATTTATGAAGAGGGATTAAAGCATGAAAGAGAAACAATTTATGCTCTTCTTTTAGTGGCAAAGCAAACCCATTAATGATACTTCCAAGTACCTCAAGAAGCTCAGCAATCCCATTAAACTTTTCCGTTTCAAAAATAAAGCTGGAGAAGATATTATAAATATATTTCCTAATAAATGGGCGATGGACCATAAACTTTCCATATATCCTATGTAGGATAGTTTTAAGATATTCCCTCTCCCTTGGATACTCTGAATCAAAAAGATCTAACAATCTGAGAATAAAAGAGTGGTCAATATATCTCTTTGCTGACTTTGTATCAGTTTCCGGGGATGCAACAAACCTAAGAAGAAACTCATACACAATTTGCAAGTGAGACCATGCAGGGTCTATCAGTGGTTCCTCATCATCCAGATCAAAGACTTCTAGAACTTTGTTTTCACGTGGCTGTGGATGAAGCGGCCTGAATAAGTTTGCAGATACCATCTTAATAGCTTCTTGCATAACAATTTCAGTAAACTTCCCATTAGCAGAAGTAACATATTCCACCAGCTCAAGCAATGTCTGTTTTTTGATTTCCTTTTCTTTTATATTCTTGGTTGAGTCAGTGAAGTCAAACACTAGACAACACAAATTCAGCTTTCTGATAAATAAGATTTGCTTCTCAGAGTTGGGAACGTCCCTAAAACTTGCCAATGCTTCATAAGGGGCAATTATCCCATTACCATTCACTTTTGGGTTTACAGACACAGGAACCTTACTCCTATCTCCATAAGCTGAGATGGAAGCAACATCAGAGCCAGGAATAGAGGCGTTGTTCGAGATCACTGGATCACCAATGACTACATCAGATGCTCCTGTACCAGTTGCATTAGGGGATGGGGTTGATGAAGCCCCGAATTCACGATTTTCAGCTGACTTAGCAGGTTTCCGAGGAAGCCTACCAAGTATTTGTTTGATCATAATTTCAAATCTAAGTTAATAGGAGAAGATCCTACAACCAATTTCAGCTTCTTTTGCAGCCTTGAGTGCAGTACTCAATGCAGCAACAACATAATATCCAAGCTTTCACAATGAAAGAAGCTAAATCCACAAGCACAACTAAAATCCATTTCCAGTTAGCACATAAACAGACCTGTAGGAGCAGTACAATTGAAATTTAAAACACCAAGAACAGGTAATATCCACGGTTGCTCCCAGATAATAATTTAAACAACACCCAGAAGCATAATCAAGCACCAAGGCAGAACCACTTATTCTGAAACATCTTAGGAAAGACCCTTTGGCCTGTAGAGAAATCAAGCATTTTAATTGCACCAACTCAGAGAGAAGAAACTAAAAGAACACTAAGCTGTAACTTTACAAGGGAAAAACATGTCTTTTTAATTTCTTGTTTATGATCTTGAGGATTGGATATTGCCGTATTGGTCCAGTATCAACTTAGTAAGAGTTTTCAAAAGCATGCTCACCTCTTTGCAAATGTGCACTTGAATCCTCTGGTTGGTGGCAGTTAAGTGATCTGATTGTGATCCACAACACCAAAGTAGTACTTGTACTAGCTCATTAACACGGGACCAGTAAAAGTGAGGGACGCAACACAACAAAGTGAGAAAAGTGAAATTATTTTAGCAAGTTGTGTTGTAGTGGGATCCTAGTAGGAGTTAGAAGAATGAATCACAGGCTAAAAAATGAAAAAAGAGGAATCTATTGATTATTGCTGTTTGAAGCAAAGACTTCGACAAAGTGAAGAAGAAGGAGGGGACAACAACCCAGAAAATATCATCCAAAATAAATACCCAGAAAACATCATCCAAAATAAATATTAAAATAAAATCAAACTCAGACAGATAGACCCAAATTTGAATTTTGTTTCGATATTATACATAAATATATATATATATATTAATAAGTTCTATATCAAATATAATTACATGTTATTAAGATAAAAACACTAATTTTGATTCACAAAAATACAAATCAAACCTAAAAAATTATAGATAAGTTTTTTTTTAATCTTTTAGATAGGTAAGTTAAAAGTAGAGATATAGTATTTAACAAAAGTTTTTTAAGATAATATAATTATTATTTCTTTGTTATGTTTTTAACACTATTTAATTATTAATTATTTTATGTAGTTATCAACCATTTAATAATAACTATTTGACATTTTAATTGAGCGTATCAAATTCTATAAAAATTAAATAATAACGAAATATACCTTGGTAATTTTGTTTTAAAAACATACGGTATTCTAATATAAAATTATAAACAAAATATTAAATTATATTTTTAAGCTCATATAGATTTATTTTTAATTTTTTAAATTTAAAATTATTTTATTAGTTCTTGTAAATTAGAAAAAAAAACTTATTTCAATCTATTTGCATAAAAATCGTTATATATCTATCAAACAAAATTTGTCTATTACTGAATTGTCACACAAAATTCACTATATTAAGTCTCTTTTTTTTAGTGAGAATATCATATTTATTCAACTGATTTACACATTGACTAATTTATATATCATTATTAATAATGTTATTGATAATTATGATAGAATAAAATAAACTTTTATAAAATTATATAACTACACAAATTAATTTCAAATTTGAGAGGGAAAGCAACTTTATTCCAAATTAAACTAAAAATGTATTTAAATTATTTTTATTATCACACACTAATCATTATTTACCTTGGTCGGGTACCCTACAAATCAAGGGTCAGCATTTTTTATAATGCAACTTGGGTGAGGTATCCCATATCCGTGCACAGACATCTGTCTAGTTGCCCAATTTTAAGGGAAAGAACCATTGGATACCAAAAATATCGCGAGTAATAAATTATACATTATTTTCAAATAAATTACATTTTTCTTTTATGAATGAAAGGGACTAAGGGAGGTTCAAATAAAATTGTGCCAAAAAAGAAAAGCTTCAATTAAATTACTATTAGTTAGTTGATTTACTGTTGTTTGGTTAGACCTTTTTTTCCTAGTAATAGCCGTTCAACTCGTGTAACGTTTATGAAATATCTAATTTCCTCGCTAGGAGGGAGGCACTTCAAAGAGTGGGATAGCTGGTCCCAAGATTTAACGTAGCTGCATATACAAGGTAGGATTCGAACCCCTGACCTTGCTTAAGCGTGGATCAATCCCTACCGTTGAACTACACGCTTGGGGTTTGTAACGTGTGATATTTTAAAAGAATTAGAATATTAGAATTAAAAATTATAATTACTAATTGTTTTAATCTTTAAAAATATAACATGGAGATTTTAATTCCTTTTATAACCATCAGGTGTTTCAATCTCTTTCATTAAGATCAATATTTTTTTGATACCCGTCAGCTATTTTAATCACTTTCATTAAAATTTAAGATCCGTCAAAAGTAATGAACACATGTTAAAATTATATACTGAATTTGAAATTTGTTTTTTCACTAATAATATATACCACCTGTCAAAAAAATAATAATATAGTTACCAAATCGATTAATTGTTACGATGGAGTAAGGATTTTTTTCATTGAGAAAACGAAACAAAATATTAATTAAAAGTTCCAATGATATGCATGGGATATATTTTAATTTAAAAAGAAATTTCATTACAATAAAACCCTGCATTATTTTTAATAATATAGAGTCTCAGTATATTGACAAACACGTTGATCAAAAAGTTGTTACAGTTTAATTGTGTTAGAAAATTAATTAATAGCTAAACATTTTTCCAATAGTTCATTTTTAAGGATACTAAAAAGTATTTCTCGAATAAGCTATGACCTTAAAAGGGTATTTAGCTTTTTTTATTTATTAAAAAATATAATTTTATCTCTTCTTTATTGTTTTCTCCAATAGTAGACTAAGCATACTTTTCAATCCCATTGTGGGAGAGTGTTTTCTGTGCATTAGATAGGGTGGATTTAAAATCAACGGTGTAGATTATTTTTTTTCTCCACATTTTCTCAATTTATCCATTTATCTCTCACAACCCCACCCATACTTAGGCAACCAGAGTCACATAAAGTGTTGCTTACACTTGCTCATGCAAAACTGCACATCCCTCTATAATCCAAAATAGCCCTGCATGCAAAATGCAAACTCAAATGCTGCAAGCTCTACCTCCCATCACATATTAAAACAGCATCGATGGTCAGCTGATAGACTTACAACGCTTACCCATGCCTCAACCTTTTAAATTATATTGTTGTTAGTAATAAAACAATATAGATAACCATTGTTCATATGATTAAAATACGTACTTAGGGATACCAATCAAGATCCAATACAAATCTCTTTTTTTTTTAACATCTCTCTTTCTGTGGAAGATTCATTCTACTAAAATCGGTATTATCTTTTATTTCCCTCTTTTATCTTTTCTTTTTTAAGATTTTCAAAGTTGTTTCTATGTCTATGACCAAATTCAAAGACCCTTTCTTTGGGGTGTAGGGGTTGAACAGAAAAAAATCCATTGGGTGAGATGATCTATTGTGTGTAAGCCAAAAGAGAGTGGAGGATTAGGAGTGACGGGCTTCGAAATTTTTAACATTCTCCTTCTTGGTAAATGGAAGAGAATGGTTAATAAACCTAATGCTTTATAGGCAAAAGTCCTTAAAGCAAGGTACGGGGAGTTGAGTTTGGTGAGTGAAACAATTGTGAGTTGGGATTCGAGCTAATGGAACAACATCATAAAAGAAAACAAATTGGGTAAAAGAGAAAAGAGAAAATGGTTTCAGAACAAAAAAATGAGGTTATAGGTTATATGGGAAATTGGGTGGGTGAGTATTGGACTTGGAACTTTCGGTGGATAAGGAATTTATTTGAGTGGGAAGAAGACTCTTTGCGAATTATGGTGTCCTCCATCAATAATATTATTATGCAGCAATAATAATAAGATAAATGGAAATGGATCTTACACCCTTCAAGCAGTTGCACAGTGAATTCAACTTACTTTCACCTCTCCCAAGAGGGGTAGGTTGAAGACACAACAATTCTTTCAGATATTCTAGGCATCCTTAGCTCCACTAAAAATGTCATGCTTGGGTTGGAGAATTCTAAATAATGGAATTGCAATAAAAACTAATTTGGAAAAAAGAGGCATCATTCATTCAGACCAACAAAAGAGGTGTGTTCTTTGCAACAAAGAAATAGAATCCACTAACTATTTATTTTTTAAATGTAGCGCCTCTCACCTCCTTTTGCAACTTTGTTATAGATGGTTTGGGATACAAACAGTACTCCCATAATAAGGCAAACAACACTTTAGCAATCATTCAGGGATTTAGAAAAAGAAAAAAAAAAACAACCAAAATATGGAATACAACTGGTTTATCATGATTTGGAGTATTTAGAAAGTGGAGAAATGATTGAATTTTCAACAATAAAAAGAAAGATATAAATCACATTATAGAAATGGTACAAATTAGAGTCTGACACTGCCTCAAAGCAAAATGTAAAGGATTAATTTTCTTTATTCACGATTGATGTTCAAACCCTATTCCATGTTTTGACTCTCTATAAGGTTGTTGATAGAATTGAATAGGTTAAATGTCTCTTTTGGTCCCTCACAATATTTTTTGTTTCAATTTAGTCTCACTTTAATTTTTTGTCTCAATTTGGTCCCCAATAATTTAAATCGTTCCAATTTGGGACTTCCGTCTAAATGATTTAAACGGAGTTAATTGGTGGTCACGTGGATGCCAGGTGGATGCCACGTAGGTGGATCAAAAAATAATTGAATACACCTGGAACCAGAACGGCCCGTTTTGGTTACATTATTGGTGTGTAAAATTTTCACCTGGAATGGGCCGTTCCAGGTCCAAAATTAACACATCAACAGTATAACTAGAACGGGCCGTTCTGATTTCAGAACGGGCCGTTCTGGTCCAGAATTTCGTGCACAAAAAATCAAAATACAAAGCAATTTTTTTTATAGGAAAAATACAAAGCATTTCAAACACTAGATTTAGTAATATTGTTAATGAAGATTAATAACATCAATCGCTAAACATTTGGGCTATACAATATATCATTAAGGATGATGCAGTGTATCATTAAGGACAATGGTAACAAGTTTTATTTCATTGTTAGTCAAACTGGAGTGAACCACTTACTACCAAATTGACACTATACAGTCAAGGATAAAACGAAACAGTGTTTTTCCTTAAAGTCATTGACGATGTACCCCAACAATAACAACCTGTTCTTGAGGAGGTACCCCTAAATCCTAAATTTTATTTTCAATTTTTGAAATACATTACGACATTTTAGTCAAGATTTTGAACTCGATAAATTTAAATCAAAGAAATATTTTGAAAAGTCTTATCTTATTTAATTTTTTTTATAGTTTTATTCATAAATGAATATTAATTTATATTTATTATATATTTATTAATATAGATATTATTAAAGAAATATAATAAAAAACATGGCATTCTGGAACGGGCCGTTCTGAATTCAGAACGGCCCGTTCTGGTGTTAGGTTTTTTTCAGGAATTTTGACGTTCACGTGCGCATCCACGTGGCATCCACGTAGATGTCACGTGGCCAATAGTTAACTCCGTCTAAATCATTTGGACTGAAGTCCCAAATTACACTAATTTAAGTTATTGGGGACCAAATTGAGATCAAAAATTAAAGTGAGACTAAATTGAAACAAAAAAATATTATAAAGGACCAAAAGAGGTATTTAACTAATTGAATACTAATTAGTTATATGACTAGATTACTTTACTTTTGTTAATGTTAAAGTACATCCCTAATTATAACCATAGAAGTATAAGTTAAACAATCTAAAGTAGAGTATTA